AATGGGGCTAGAGTGAGGGAAAAAATAAAATTTTAATTTCGTTTTAAAATATGACTGCTACATGCGACTAGTGGCTGCCCTACAAGACAGCACAGTTCTGGAGCTTACAAAACAAGGCTGTTCGATATTTTTAGGCCTGCTTGCCACTAAATGCTTGTTTATGTGGCAGAATTTGCCCTGTGAATTTCTTGCATGGCCATACTGGGAGGTGAAGTTGTGTAAAAGGAGACCTATAGTTCCCATCTACTGTCATAGTTGGCTAATCATACCAACTCTTGAGGTATAACTCGCTGAGGCCAGTTCTTGGCAGCGGCTCAGGCCTCTGGCTCTGGAGGCAGATCTGAACTGCACAATAAGCCTGGGGTGAAGATCCACCACTCAGAGGCTTGTCATGAAGATTAAACCATCCACTGTGTGAAAGCACCTAGCAGAGGACCGACAACATTGAGCTTTGCATACGCCACAACACTGCTTCACCATCCTCCTCCTCTAATGAAACCCATGAGCTTCGATAAGGTCTTGTCTGTTTGAGAATGGACATTAAATAGAGCATAGGAAACTGCACCCATCCTCTCCCCACCCCCCAAAATAAACACCGTAAATACCTCAGCTAGCAATCTGAGTGGGAAAAATGATGACCTTGTCACAATAATTCTCATGAAACAAAACAAGCGATGAGAATAAGGGGCTTACTCTTTTCTAAAGAGTATCCCTTATAGTCTGTTTACATTGTTCTACTCCTCCCCCCCCTCCAAAGTATTTTTTTTTTATTGTGGTAAAATAAACATGACAAAAGTTACCATCTTAACCATTTTAAGTGGTAGGAAGTAAATTCATCGTTACATTGGTTTTTGTCTTCAAAGGTAAGACAATATATTTATTTGTAAATCTTGATGCTAGGACATCATCCCATCCACCTCCACTAGTAATAAACTAAAATGATATTAAAGCCTGCAGGAGATAAATAGCACTTTCAGAATAGTGATCATGGCAGAAGTGGGGAAAGAAGGGAATCAGGGAAGGAACACAAGGGGGGCATAAATCATTATGTAGAACGATGTATTTCTTTTCAAAGAAGTAATGGATCAACTATGGCAAACTTGGCCAAAATGAGCTATAAGTATACAGGCTTTTGCTGCATCATTTACTCTACTTACATATTTAAATTTTTTCTTTTAATTTTGACCTAATTTTAGACATACAGAGAAGTTGCAAACACAATTAAAGTTAGCATCTTAACACAAAAAATAATCAGACCAGGAAATTAACTTTAGTATAATATAATTAACTAAAATAAACATTGCAATATCCCCAGGTTTTATACCAATGTTCTTTATCTAGTCTATGATCCCATCTAGAATCCCCAGTGCATTAAGTGGCTGTTTCTCCTTAGCCTCTTCCAGTCCGTGACACACTCAGTCTTTTCTTGTCTCTTATGACCTTGACACTTGATAGTTACTTTGTTGAAGGTTTCATAATTTGGGTTTGTGAGCAGTCAGACTCCAGAAAGACAGGACTGTGTAGAGGATAAGAATAGGGTATCTGGAGACAGACTGCCTACATTTGAATCCAGGCTGTACAGCTTATGATCTGGGATGGTGGGCAGGTTATAGTTTGGTTCCTTCTTCATTAAAACAGAGCAAATAATGATAATTGACTGGGTTGCTGTAAAATGTAAACATACACATGCAAAGTGCTTAGGACAGGACCTGGCATGTAGTAAGTGCACCACAAATGCCAGGGAATATGTTGCTCCTGACTGACACCCCCGGCGATTGGTCTAGGTCCCCAACCACTCAGGGTGGTGAACAGTCTGTGGCTACGGGCCAAACAGCCTCCATTGGGTAGTAGAGATGATTTCTCCCCAGCGCCAACTCTATTTCTTACATCATGCCATCATAACTCCTGAAATAGAGTCACCTACAATACTCTTAGTTAATACAATCTACAAAGTTAAACCCGTACAACAGTGACTAACCTGAGAGCCATACCAAAGTTCTTGTTTAATGAAAATAAGAGACAGAGAAAAATATTTGGGGAAGATCTTAAGCAACTGGTAGATTCCAATGAGTTGGAATCTTTTAAGTCAGACCAGTGTTTCTTGGTGTGTGTGTGTGTGTGTGTGTGTGTGTGTGTGTTTAAAGACAAGCTTCTTTTTGATAAATATAAAAACCTTATGGTTTCTTTGAATGCTGTTTGAAACTTGCAAATTTAAAAAACAACCAAAAGCAAATCTAAGCAATGTTAAGAATATGCTTTTTCCAAGTACATATGCGCTCAGTCCCTAGGAAACTCTGAGTCGGTGCTCTATTCCCTTCCTGAAATTAACTGAATTGACCTAGAAACAATCTCCCATAGCCTCACAATTTAGACTAGACTTGAGGTTGCTATAACAACATTGGCCATGGTCACTGCTCATAGAAAAGATTCTTTGGTTTAATCTATGCAACTGAAAGCCTTCAGTCCTACAGAAGAACTCACATTTGTCTTCAGAATCACATATTTGGAAACAGAGAATGAAAGATTTACTATCTCCGCCATGAAGTACCCACTGAGAACAGATAGCAGTGAAGGCAAAGTGAGCAGTCTGGATCACTGAGGAGCCATGATCTGACCAATCCCCAGATAATGTCATGATGTCATTGGAAGGGAAGGGCAGCCTGAGAGGTTGGAAGGCGTGTTGAGCAGCAGAGATGTCCAAAGCAAAAGCAATTCTAGAAGAACCAAGACACTTCATGTTGCTGAAAAGGCTGTCAAGATAATGTTGGGGAAAAGGAGAATAAGAAAAGAGATCCAGCTAACAGAATTAATGCTTTAAGAGAGAAAGAGAGAGAGAGAGAGAGAGGAAGCAGATTTAATCTCAGGAATAAGGCAGAAGACTAGCTGAAAAACTCAAATAAAATGTGGAATTTAATAATGCATTCCTCCAAATTTTTCCATGTTCATCTTCCTTTACAACATATTCCTTTTATTACAACTAACCCGTCAGCCCCTGCCATAGATCCCACCCTTAGTTTCTTCAAACAAAGCAGCCAAGTTTCATATTTTGAATTCTTCCCCGTATTGAATTCTCACCTCTTTTTTTTTTTTTTTTTTATTCGGAGGGTGGGTGCGGAACTGGACCTCGATTCTGCACCCTCCTCTCACTTTCTCATTCAGACACCCCTAAAGTATAGTCTATATGCACTGTTCCTACTTCCTCTCCTCCCATTCCCCTCAACCCAGTGCAAACGTATTGATTCCCTTCTCATTAAAGCCAAGCAATAACATTCATGCTGCCAACTCCACTGGAAGTCTTGTTTGTTTTAACCATGTCAAGTATGTCAATGTACTTTGAATTGCCTGGAAGAGGGCCTGATCAATGAACACTACCATCCAAGTATAGGCTTCAGGATAAAATCCAGGTTCCCTAAGGGAGGGAGGGGGCCTTCCATGACGTCGCCGACCCCTGCTTGATCTCTCCCCACCACTGGCCGTTTCTCACCTTGTTGTCCCTGCTCTTGCCCTCCCCTCTGCCTGAAAGGCCCTCTCCCACACCCCTGCTTTACACCTCACTAACTTCTTCCCTCCCACATACATGAGAAGCCATGTCCCCCACTGGGCTTTTCCTGACCCCTCAATCTCAACCACGGCTGCACGAGGTGACCCCTTTTGTTCTCCCACACCCTTATGTTTAAGTTCTGCTGCTGCACTCACCTCTCCATGTGATAACAGGGTGTTTATGTCCATCTCACTAAAGGCTCTGAATTATCTTAAAAATAGGAAACATCTTAGGCATGCACATGACAAGAGGGAAGCAACCGCCATTGCAGAAGTAACCATCCTTCTGCCCTCGGGAGGGATCCTCTTTAGCCCGGGATGGGATGGTTACGGAATATTTTAGAAGCCAGGGCTCGCTCCTGTGTTCTTGTCACTTCTCTGATTTGGGCCCTTGTGTTGCCATGGTAACCATCAGTCTCAGAACACAGACTTCTGGCAGTTGGACTTCCAGCCACTGAGACCCAGGATCTGAAGGATTTTGAACATCCTCAGTTTAGGGCTAAGTTGGTAGCACCTCTTTCACATGGGCAACTACCACAGCAGAAAATGGTGGCGTCTGCAGTGTGTGTGCGGTGTGTGTGTGTGTGTGTGTGTGTGTGTGTGTGTGTGTGCTGTGTGTCCTCCTCCCTTGCTCCCCCCACTTACTTATTGGGACATCATAGAAAAAGCTGGACCAAAAAGTGCCATCAGATGGTGGGAGGATGAGTGTCTAACTGGCTATAACTTTTCTGGAAAGCAATTTAGTATCAACTATCAGATGCCTTTAATATGTTTGTGATCTTTGATCCATTAAATCCACATATAGGAATTTAAAGAGAGATAAAAAATTACTTACAATAGGGTTTAATATAAATTTATTTATTAAAACAATAACCACCATCCATTAGCTGAGAAAGTGGTTAAAAGTGACAGAATAGAAAAAACATAAATTATTTTATGCCATAAAATAATTTCAGTTTCAACTGATGTGACGTCATACCCACATATGTATGTGAATGGGGATATATATATATATATATATATATATATATATATATGGAAAGAAAAAGATTACAAGGAAATCCATCAAAATGTTTTTATAATGGTCATCATTATATCTGGATCAAGGGATCATAGGCATATTTATTTTCATCTTATGTATATATTTTATAGTTTTCAAACTTTGTATAATGGTAATTTTTCTTTTATAAGTTCTTTTAACTGTAGTGAGATGATGTGGGGCAACAGGTGAAGATGCTTAGTAGAAGGAATTGTTATACAAAGAAAGAGATTTTTAAAGAGAGAGAGCTGCCTCTTTTACCTTTCATTGGAGATTGCAAAATAGGATGAACCAGAAAGGAATAGTTCCAAATAGAAAAAGGAATAGATAATGTTACTGCTTATCAATATCATCTATTTTTTCTTTATTTTGAAGATTCCTGAGATAAGGGACACCCCTAATATTTGAGCCCTTGAACTCCATGGCAGACTCATTCTCCTGCAACAACTGTGCTGACACTGAGGACTCTAAATCAAACCTGAGCCTCTCTGTGGGCTACTACCCCAATGAGGACACATTCTCCAATGAAAATATAGCCTCCTGGGAAGACACACCCTCCCACAATCCCTCAATCCATTTTGTCCCTACTGAAAGTATAGGGAGACTCATGGAGAGACAAGACCAAATTCAGAACAGCACAGAGCAGTTTGGCAAACTTGGCATTCCCCTGGCCTGGGATGGTGGTAACCCTTCAGACTCAATCGTTAATTGGGATCCATATGGAGACAACCTGTGGATAGATCCTGAAGAGAAGACAAAACTGACTCTCAGCAAACTGCACAGGCTTGAGCAATTTTTAGAAAATCAGAAAGATGAAGAAGATGATGAGTTTATATTCCCTGAATTTGCTCAAAATGAGTATTTCCAGCTGCCCAGCAGCACCCCTCCACATGTGGCTCAGGTCAGTCATCAAGAACATGATACTTGTCTTCAAGATTTGCCCATGTTCGACCCACCAGAAAACAATGCCACCCAGTGTCCACAGATTCCTCCAAAGCGTCAGGAACACGAACTTGCTGAGGTGAGCCCAGTGACACACCTCAGAGGCAAGCAGGGGGGCAGGCCTGGTGGAGGGGCCTGGGTGGAATGCTACCTGCTATGAGGCAGGGCGGAGCCTCTGGGTGTCTGACATGGCTGGGAGTGAAAGAAGGATAATATCCAGGAAAAGGGTCAGGGTGGAGTTAAAGGGAAAATACCAAGGACCACTGAGGGAGAGACGAGGATAGGAAAGTAAAGAAAAGCCTAAAATCAGGATCCTCAAAGAGCGTGAGTGCCTCTATTAATGAGTATGGAAACTTTGCATTTACAATCAAGTTATTTTTGGTAAAAGGACTTGAGTCCCATGAATGGGTAATTATGGACCCCATGTTGTCCAGGTTGCACATATCTCACTCATCATTCATTTCCTTGGTAGACAATAGGACAGGCAACTGGCAGACAAAGAACAAGTACTATAGAGACCTGCTCAATCTCGTCAGATAAGTCGAAGAAGGAGGACACTCATTCTAGTACACAACCCCTCTCCTTCCTCAACTTCAGGTGGGTCTTCCGCTGGCTGAGGCAGCAGGTCCTCTCCTCATTTGGGGGAAGAGGGCATCCCAAGAAGGCTCCCGAGAACCCCAATAAGCTGACACAAAGGAAAAGACTCTGTCACAGAAGCATGAAAATCCAACCTCTAGAACCCATTGAAGGAGAATACCCTGTATCACCAAGTTTTAAAACTTTTTAATTGCCCCCATTCTACAATCCCCATGAATCATCTCTCCTCATCACCAATAAACAAAACATATTCATTCTTATAATCCATGTCTTCTTCTTCCAGCTCACTATCTTAACTTGACTCAGGCTAACAGTTATATATCCTATCTAGAAGACTGAAATATATTCTCTGGGGATTTTAAGCAGTATCATTCTTCTAACATGAAGGTGTCCTTTTTTTTCTCCTTCTTATTATATTTTTACCCTATTTTATCATTACCCCAGATCTCTGTTTTCAGAAGGTAGCAGTATGTCCCATCAGATTCCCAGCCTGGCAGTATGGTTTTGGTTGAACTTTTGGGGCTCAAGCACGTGGCAGTGGGTACTTGATCACTCAGGAAGGGCTTCAACTGGCAGTGTTTCAGGAGTTCAGACAGTCCTTCTGATGCTCCTAGGGGACCTCACTGGTTCTAGCATGCATCACCTTGGCTATAATAATAAATGGTCCATTTAGGAGGAATGTGAGGATGGGGAATGCTACTTAACCACTCTAAACCATACTTTCCTCATCCATGAAATGGAAAAGATGATAATACATATCTCATAGGGTTGTTGTTAGAATAAATGAGATAATATAAGCACTTCATAAATATTTTTATTGTTGTTGTTGCTATTATTCATTCTCCTCAGATGTCTTCATCCAAGAGACATCCAAGAGGAAGAATTTAAAAGTCAATTCTCATTGTAATATTTCCCACACAGAAGCAGTATTTACTCAAAGGTTTGGGTTTGGGCAGATCTTGACTCAGTCAAGTCCTCTCCCAGACCATTCTCCATTGTGCCCTTTGATAATTCCTTCATGTCATTAAACTTTCCTCTAAAGATCACTTTCTTTGAATAAGTCTGTCCATACTTCCCCTCCTTGCACTGACTTCTTCCCATTATTATTCTTTTTAAAAAATATATATTTTATTGATTTTTACAGAGAGGAAGGGAGAGAGATAGAGAGTTAGAAACATCCATGAGAGAGAGAGTCATTGATCAGCTGCCTCTTGCACACTCCCTACTGGGGATGTGCCCGCAACCAAAGTACATGCCCTTGATCGGAATCGAACCCAGGACCCTTCAGTCCCCAAGCCGACGCTCTATCCATTAAGCCAAACCGGTTCCGTCCCCATTATTATTCTTAACTCACCTCCCTAATTCCACTACCATCCTATCCTCATCATTTACCCACAGCTACTCAAAACTCTCCTTCTTCAGCTTTTGCTACTTCCTACATAATCTTTTGAGTTCATGTAGTAAAGTATATAATTCTTTAGTCCCAAATTCCTTCTGTCTCTCAATTTCAATTTCCTTATCCAATTCCTTCCTTTTTTCCTTCCTCCATTCCACAAATATTTAGCACACAGGGGTAACAGATACTTTTCTGGCTTACCCAAGACAAAATAAAAACAAACTCTAACTATGGGTTCAAATGGCTTATCATTTAAGAGATAAAGCCATGTAAACACATGACTATAAAGAGGTATAGATGAGAATAGTCTTATGAGGTACACACTGGGTACTAAAGAATAATCAATTCAACATGGGAAGGTTGATTTAAAAGGTTTTGTATAGCCGAAACCGGTTTGGCTCAGTGGACAGAGCGTCGGTCTGGGGACTGAAAGGTCCCAGGTTCGATTCCGGTCAAGGTCATGTACTTTGGTTGTGGGAACATTCCCAGTAGGGGGTGTGCAAGAGGCAGCTGGTCGATGTTTCTCTCTCATCGACGTTTCTAGCTCTCTATCCCTCTCCCTTCCTCTCTGTGGAAAATTAATAAAATATTTTTTTAAAAAAGGGTTTTATATATCAGAGTTCCCTTGAGTTACAAATATGGTCAGTTTAAGCCACTGGATAAAATGGTGTGGAAGTAAGGAATGTGATCCGGGCAGGTTATATGTGAGAGACAGTGAATATGATATTCCCCAAAGAAGGGCAGTCCCATGAGAGGTAAGAGATTAAAGAATAAGGCCTCCTTAGCAATATATGCTCCTTGTTTCTTCAAAGCTAGACTCCTCATTTCATCCACCCCTATGAGAACATTTTTCTATTTGACTAGTTCCTCCACCTTCACTGGCTTTTTGACTTCACTAAGACTTGGAGTCTCTTTACCATACTTGTTCCAAGATGTTCATTCACTTCCTTCCAGGTCCAACCTATGCACCTCCTTCCCAAACTGCAGCATATATACCACGTCTAGCAGCATTCAGAATGCCTTGGTCTCTTCTTTTCCTAGATATATATATATATATATATATATATTTTTTAAATCGACATTCCCCCAATTTCCCAACAGGATACTCTTGCTTCTCATTAGGGCCAATCCACAAAACATAGGGACTACTTTCTCCATTCCTTGGACAATTTCCCCTAATACCTTCCCAAGTCCCCCACTGCCAGGGGAACCTGTTCTTAAAGACTCTATTCTAGGGTTACTATAAAGCCAAGACTGATCCTTCTAGATAAAGTTGACCATGCCTTTCCTTACACTGTCCCCCAGTCCCCACTCTGCCACCCCCACACCATGACTTGCACTTTTCAGACTTCTCTACATGATTAATTCCCCTAGTCTAGATTCTGACCTCTTGAGCATCAGGTCTTAGCTTGTTTTTTACTACAAGAACCTAACACAGTATCAGGAACAGAGAGGTCTTTCTGCCTCTACTAGTATATGACCAGCAGTGTTAAAAGCAGGGACCAGGCTGTGGTGGGGGAAGGTGGAGGCAGGAAGAAGAGAAAATGACAGCCTGTGAAAGCTCAAGTGAGGTGGGAACTACAGACTGAGAATCCTAAGACTAGAGGAATTTAGCAACTAACGTGGAAATTTATTTCAACAAATATACACGGAGTCTTAATGTTTCTTTAGAGACCACAATATGCCTAAAGATGGATGGCATCTACCATCACAGCACATATAACCAGAGTTTTGTTATCATTATAAGTAAAGCTCTAAGAAAAACTCAGTTAAAATGAACTGGTTTTAAAAGATTGCCCACACTAAATAAGTGTTCCATAAACTTGCTTGACAAGTAGGAAGGTACCTCTGTGATTCAAGCAATGTACACTACCAAGTCCTTACACTAAATATTCTTTGCAAAGAATCAGAATTCTAAATATTCTTTCGAGTTGGCATGCTACCTCTCAGAAAGCAAGTCAAAGTGTTTAAAAATAGGATACTCTCTAATTTTGAGATGGATGGAACTTATATTGCATTGCCTAAAGTCAATCTTTTCCTAATACTGCAACAAAGAGAACAACACTGCTTTCAAAAGTGAAATAACATCCTCATCAGATAACACTGAGTCACTGAGTGAGCCAGTCAGCAGTGGGGGAGATATGAAAGCCTTAGGATAAATTCCCAAAAGGATTATAAGCCTACATCAAGAAATCCCCCCAATAAAAAAATTGTTTACTATCCCATCTTTCAAAAGAATCCCATGGTTTTGATACTTACTTGATTTCAATCTAATAAACCTCATAAAGAACTACTTTTGAGGCATTTTCAAACGAGAGGGCAAACATCAAATAGCTTTTCAGATTGTAACTGTTGAATGGAAATTCATTTCATTCTTAGTGAACTACCTTAGTGTAGAAGGAAATAAGAATGGCAGTTTGTTTTTCCTCATCTGCATCAATAAAGATTTATTCTTTTAAGTGCAAATCCCCAAACTAAGCATTCATGTCCTCTCTCTCTCTCTCTCTCAGAAATTTCCTGTACACAAAGTAAGAGAAGATACTTTGCACATTTTAAATTTAACATATGTTTGCATAGTTGTATTCAGATTTCATTTTTATCAAATTCTCTGCCACCTATTTGAGGCCTAGATTTTTTTCCCTCCAAACAGGGATGGGAATGAAAAGGAGACTTTTCCCCCAGTAAAGTGACTTCAAAAGTTCAATGAGCACCATGTTGCAGCCACCAGCATAACTGATTCACATAAGGATCAAAACTGAGTGCTAAAGCCACTGGGCAAATGACTGACTGTTGGGGAACAAGCTATGCATATGGTCTCCAAGAATTTCCCCACAGGTTGTTTATTCGTTATCAAGGAGATTAGGTAACTTTACAATGGAGAGGTCCAGTCAATACCAACTTCATCAAATAATTGAAATTATCCTGCCTAAAATTAAAAAAGCATCGAACAGACCATAAAACCTCAGAGAGAAGGCAAAGGGCGGGTGGCAGGAGATTAACCAAAGAACTTGTATGCATGCATATAAGCATAATCAATGGACACAGACACAGGGGAGGGGGAGGGCATGTGTTGGGGGGTGGAGTGGCCAGAGAAGGGTCAATGGGGGGAAAAGGAGATAATTATATATATAATACTTTAAACAATAAAAAGAATTTTTAAAGACTAAAAAACAAATAAATAAAATTAGCCTGCCTAACCTCATATCATGTACCTTCTGAAGAGAAGCACTGTGTTCTTGCTAGCAATGTTTACCCGGAAGGTAATCATTAGGAATCCAAGTCAGATGAACCCAGGGTGAAAGGCACGCTTCCAGACAACTGTCTCAGACTTTTCAAACATGTTAATGTCATGAAATACCAAATAAGAAAAGAACAAAAAGAGGGAGATAAGATGGTTCATAAAGGAGATGAAAGAGACATGGCAATCAATGGCTATAAATCATCGTTCATTGAATCCTTGATCAAATCTATAGAACAATGATAAAATGTACTTTGTAGTTGGAAACATCTGAATATGCATTGTATATGAGATACTTTCAAATGGTCCATCAAAAAACGTAAAATAGAGAAAGCTCTAACCGGTTTGGTTCAGTGAATAGAGATTTGGCCTGCGGACTGAAGGGTCCTAGGTTCGATTTCATTCAAGGGCATGTATCTTGGTTTGGGGCATATCCCCAGTGGGGACTGTGTAGGAGGCAGCTGATCGGTGTTTCTCTCTCATCATTGTTTCTAACTCTCTATCCCTCTTCCTTCCTCTCTGTAAAAAATCAATAAAATATATTTTAAAAAATAAA